TTTCCTCATTTACCAAGTTTTCATATATGCCTAGGTCCATATTTATCTTTTGCTGTTCTAAAATCATACTGTTTTAATTATTCATGCTTTATATTAGGGCAAGTCTCTGAGGCAGGGATTTTAGAAATCTCAGGCTTCAATCTAGTGTCCTGTTCTAATTCTGCTACTTTACCACAGGTTTTGGGACCTTGTTTGGTTAGTCACTTTGCCTCTTTAAGGTTAGGTTTCATTTCCTGAAAAATACTGATGGTAGCAGTAGTAGTATCTACCTCATAGGTTGTAATGAGCTTATATTAATACAGTACCTGGCACTACATTCTCAGTAATTTTTTGCTGTCATGGTTTTCTTTTTTTTAAATCCGTACTTTCGTTAACATTCTTCCTTTGCTCCCCTTGGTCATTTCTTCCCTTCAAAGATGCATGACTAATACAGATGAGAGCTTGATGTCTGTTGCCCTCTCTCTCAGGTGGAGACTGGTTTATTTATTTTTTTTTTACCTGTTCTCTTTTGTTCCACAGGTATAAGAATCTTCCTTTCTGCTTGTCTTGTGGTGAGATCCCTTATACTGTAGGGAAGCTGCTTATGTGTCTAGCTGCTCTGCCAGGATCTGTGAAGTCAGTTCAGTTCCAGGGGCAAAGAGAAATAATAGAAAGTCCAGTGTGTCTATTATGTCCAAGTAGAGTTTTTAAAATTTTCTTTTAAAAAGTGGTATATACTGTTTTATCAGTGCCACCTGACTCCTACATATATTTCTCACTTGGTTTAGATCATAGCCCTCTTTTTGATTAATTATCCCCAAATATCTACAGTTGTTATGCAGGAGAATGTTTTTCATTTATTTAACATAGTTATTAAAGGAAGAATTAGCAAATTGGAGGCCAAAAAGCCAAGTCAAAACAAACAACTTTGGCATGAGGATGTTGAATGTTTTTGTTAGCATTTTAAAATGGTGAGATTTTATTTCCTTCTACTATTATCATGTTATCCAGAGAAGAAAGAGAGGCAACATTATATGACAGGCATATATAGGCAAGAAGATTTATTACTTTAAAACTTTGGTTTTCTGTTTCTGACAACAGAACCATTAAGTGAAAGATATGTGGGTTTACAGTAGGTTTATAATTTTAATCATGAACCTTTAAGCACAACTTTGTAAAGACCCCTGTTTCTAGCTCCAGGTTTCTAATAAATAGCTCTCATCTTAGCACTCTAGTCTCTGTTACAGGTTATTGCAATATTCTAACAATAGAATATTGAGAATATATTCTATAAGGATAATTGGACATCAAAAACCAGTGATTCTTTTTATCTTCCCTGTAATAATAAACATCTCTTCCCACTTCCTTCTAGGTATACCCAGTTTATTTGGGTTTGTTAAAAGAAACTGGATTTCAAGATATATGTAGGTAGAAATCAAAAGAAGTTACTAACTAGTTCTCTTCTTTAAATGTGCACAAAGAACATTTTCCAGGTTGCCTTGTACTGTGCTTACCATGTTTTGTATCTTGATGAAGAGTCAGCTTTGGAAAAACACTGTTAGCTTGCAAGTTCATTTTTCAAAGCTTCTTAATTTTGAGCAGGTAATATATGGTACAGAATTTGAAAGTTTTTAGAAAGGCATAAATCTCACTTACCCTTCTGTGTTTCTGAACACCCAGGTTCCCTCTGTAAGATATCCACTACTACCAGTTTCTTGTATATCCTTCTGGATATTTGCTATGCAAGATTTCATGTACAGTCATACGAATGTGTATATATACTTTACATACACTATGGTAGTATTTAAATAGGAGCCTATCTTGGCAATCTTTTTTTTTTTTTAAGATTTTATTTATTTGACTGAGAGAGACGTACAAGAAGGGTGGGGAAAGGAGAGGTAGATGGAGAAGCAGACTCCCCACTGAGCAGGGACTCCCATGTAAGGCTCCAACCTGGGACCCTGGGATCATGACCTGAGCTGAAGGTCACTGCTTAACCATCTGAGCCACCCAGATGCCCCCTGTCTTGGCAGTCTTGCCAGTTTACAGTCTTGAACATTTTGCCAAATTACCCTTCCTTGCCTTTCAAGGAGGTTGTCCCAGTTTATATTCCTATCCATAGAAAATGTGAAAGTGCCTGTTTCACCACAGACTCACCAATAGGATGCCTTATCAAACTCTTTTGATTTTTGCCAGTCAGAAGGCAAAATAGTACCTTGTAGTTTCAGTTTGTGTGTTGAAGTTCAGCATCAAGATGAGATGAATTTTAAAAATATTTTTCCAGTTTATCTCTTGACTATGTTTATTTGACATGAAGACCATTTTAAAAATGTGTGTCAATTTAGTAGTTAATTCTCTTATGGCTTTTAGATTTTGTTTCATTTAAAAAGGCCTAGTCGGAGAGTACAGAAATAATTCATTGTGTTTTTTTTTACATTTAAAGCCTTTGATCCCTCCAGAAATTTTAGAATAAGGTTAGGAGGTATGCAGGCTTACTTTTGAGGCAAAGATGTATATACTGTAATATAATGTGTATGTTTGTATTGAGACTATAAGTAATTTAGGGGAAAGAGTTGTTACTGTATTGCTTTTCTCTGTAAGGTAGAGTCATTGCAAATTTTCTCATGGATAAAACAATACTTTTTCTGTAGGAAATTTGGAAAAAGAACAGGGGGAAACGAAAACCAGCCACGGCTCCAGCACCAATATATATAACAAAATCTGGACCATACTCACACTGTATCTTAATTTTTTTTCACTTGAGACTAACACAGTTAAACAGATTTAGAAAATACTTTAAATGGATGCTTCATATTGTATTGATGCTTCATATTTGTATTGTGTCCGAATATTTTCCAACCATCCCAGTGCTTTCCTGAGGCGAAATCTAAGGCCTTTAAAGAAACGCCTGGCCTGAGCTTTTAGGCTTACCTTTAAATCCGGAACCGTTTTTGGAAAGCCCATTTTAGATGAGATGCCAGCACTGGCGCAAGCCCGGCATCCAGCGGTCTGGACCCAACCTGACCGAGGACAGGACGGAGTCCCGGCCCACCACCCCGCCTCCCCTACCGGGACTGTCCCTCTCTGGCCAGAGCGCCCCCTAGCGGCGGCGGCGAGAGCAGCTGAGTGCGCGGCTGTGGGAGGGCCCTCGCGTCGCTTGGCTGATCCCCACCGAGCCTGTCTCTTCTAACAAGTCCTTTTAATGGCTTTTGGAGCTGCTTGTTTTACGAGGCTGTCATCCGCCTCTCCCGCGCATTGCTGCAGGTCCCGACTTCAAGTGCCTGATTGCTGCGGGGCCTGCCTGGCCTGGAGCTGCAGAATACCGGGCAGGGGCTCAGCCAGAGCAGCTGGGGCTGGTCTGCGTCCCACTCCCTCGCTGCTCCGTTTGGGGAAGTTTGAGAAGTTTTGAACTTCCGGGGTTGGCTGGCCCGCGTCTGCCCTGTGGAGGGTGACCGAGGGGCGTCGCTGTGCCCTGCCCTTGGGCGCGGCTCTTTAAACTTTCTGTTTTTTTAAACTTTGGGGGTGTGGTCGCGGTGCCTCCTCTCTCAGCGGCTGGTTGTTCCCTAGCCACCCGGTCCTCCCCTCCGCCCCGCCTTCTAGATGCTTTGGAGTCATGAGCCGGGAGGGCGCAGGGACCCCTCTGGTGGTGGAGGTGATCAAAGGTGAGTGGGGTGGCGCGGGGCTTGCCTGTCCTGGAAGCTGCTGTGGCAGCAGTATTTAGGGGGTGTCAGGCCGTGCCGGGGGAGGTGAGGAGGCGCCTATTGCCGGCCAAGAGCCGCCCTTCAACTTCGCCGCCCGGCCGATGCTGTCTCACGGGCGTGGGTGGCCTCCCGGGACTCCTCGTCCCCAGGCGTGGTCTTGCTTTGGGGTGAATCCGCACAGATGTGTGCAGTTGGGAACCTGGTGTCCTTCCACCCCTGGCTGGCAGAGGAGTTACTTACCCCTACTCACCCACGGGAGCAGAATCCTAGGTCACTCTGTGCACAGGGATCAGGGGTCATTTGTGGTTAGCGAGGAATCAGCTCCGCCATCTGTTTGAGTGTTTGTGGTTACAAGACATTTCAGTTGAGGAGTTTGCAAGGAAACTAACACGGCAATTGTGCGAGTTGAACTGCAGACAAAAATTGTTTAAATTACCATTTGGTGAACAGATGCCAGCTGGCGTTTGTTTGTTTTTTTTTTTTTAACTATTTTGAAGGCTGTACTTGATTTTGCTACAATCTGAGTGTAAATAAGTATTCTATTAGTACTATTTAGTACCACTAGTAGGTATTGCAGGTGACTGCTTCACCGTGGATTTTTAGGCAACTTTTTTGGGGGTGAGACAAGGGAGGAAGGGTGGAGCCTCTGAGCATTACTGCTCCTTACCATTCTTGCTAAACGTCACAGCAGCCTGACTGCATTTATGCAACACAAGTTCATCTCACTCATCTTGGAGAAACCTCTCATTGCTTCTGTTATAATGGTAATTTGTCTAATTGTAAAAATAACCACAAAAGTAGTGATCCCTAAGAATAGTTGAATAAACTTATGGTTTGTTTCGTTGTTTGTGTTCTACAGAAGTAAACGTTAATTTTGCAGCTATTTTGACGGCATTCTTTAGCTTCTACTTAAAAAAATACAGTTTCCTATTGAAATGATTTTTTAGGATGGCTTGAAAACCTACTGAAACAGAGCGCAAGTAATCTGCCTATCCAATGCATGCTGCTGTTTGCTGAAATTTCTTAGCCCAGGGGAACCAAAGTTTTGTAATGAGAGGTTCTTCTAGAAACCTAGCCATATTGCTGTGAAAAATTACTTATTGCTATTGAGATTTATGGTTTTAACAATTTCTCCTTTAAAAATGTTGCTTATTTATTGTTACCCACCAAAATAGCAGAACACTTTGAAATACCCATTGGCACCCTTACCATGCATGAAAAAAATAAAAATTTGACTTCATCTGAAAAGAGTTGCATCATGATATGTGAAACTTTTATTAATAACCTGAAGGAAGGAACATTGCAATTTTTCCATTTCAGATCGCCTTTGTTTTGCCATTCTCTACAGCAGACCAAAGAGTTCATCAAATGTACATTATTTCAGCATAGATAATGAACTTGAATATGAGAAGTAAGTACTGCTTTTTTAAACGATTGTTAGTAACTTTTTTTTATTTTGAAGAATCTAAAGGTATGTTTGTAAATAGAATAGCCTTGGGAAATTACAAATCTGTTGATTGATAATTGCCAAGTACTTTTTTCTGCGTAGTATAACCCTTGGTGATAAAGTAGACCTTTAGGGCAAATATCAAAATGAAGGAACATTCCTAAATTTAACAAGTTATATTTGAAATCTAGCAGCTTAAAGTACACATGAGATTTAAACTAGTATAGTTATAAGTAAAATGTGGGAAAATGTGTGGAAAAAAGGCTTTTTTATTCAGATATTATTGAGGCTGGATTTAAGCACTGTAGCCCTTGTTATATTTTTTAGTAGGCATTCCTTACCAGAATGCCACTAGTTTACCACTTGTACGGCAGTATCATTAATTAACATTGTTAACCGATAACAATTTGGTGTATGCATTCTTGTCGTAGTTAGATGTTGTAGTTCCAAAAAGGCATTTTAAAATTTAGAGGATCTGGAATGTATATGTATGTTTTTGTTTTTCATTTTTAAAGCTTCTACGCAGATTTTGGACCACTCAATTTGGCAATGGTTTACAGATACTGTTGCAAGATAAATAAGAAATTAAAGGTAAAATCTTTTTTACTTAAAATTTGACTTAGGTAATCATTGTTAGCCCAATTCTGGGGAGGGAAAAGAAAGGAAAACCTACCTCTCTTTTTTATTTAAAAAAAAAAAAAAAGTTATTTTTCACTGCAGTGTTGTTTGGGACATACATGTGATTTTTGTTTTATATAATCATAGTGCATATATGTTTCTTGTTCAGAGTTTTGACTGAATGGTTTAAGATTGATTGGGTCATTTTGTTCTGGTTTGGATTGGTAATGCTCAGATACTTGAAAAGCCAAAGTAGAAATTGGTTAATAAAGTGAGACCTCTTGCTGTCTGATCTAATGGAACTGAAACCTAACAAGAGAAATTTCCCTTGCTTTGGTTATTGTTCTTTCTGCCTTTACTTTGACAGAGTGCTTTATTACTTTATAAAGAATATTGCCTCATCTACTTCCATTCTATCTTTAATCTCCCATGATATTTGTACTCCTTGTGATTCTTTATCCCCACCTTTATATATACCATTAAGGAGCAAGGAAAGCAGGGGCTCTTAAAGGGCCTCTTTTTAAGACTGTGTATGAGAGTTGCAAAAGTGTATTTCTGTTACTTTGAACTCAGACCCCATTCCTTTATTTAAAAAAACTTCTAAGTTATGGTCACATCAATAAAAAGTGTTTATGTACTGCTTAGCAAGTCCAAATTAGTCACTGTAAATTCTCAAGTAGAAAATACTGGATTTAAGGGTAGGTATTTCTTAAAAAACAGCTTTAGCCAATTGATTACTTATCATCCTAATACATAGAAAGAAATAAAATTTCTTTTTTTTTTTTTAAGATTTTATTAATTTATTTGACAGAAAGGCAGTGAGGGAGGGAACACAAGCAGGGGGAGTGGGAGAGGGAGAAGCAGTCTTCCCGCTGACCAGGGAGCCCCATGTGGGACTTGATCCCAGGACTCTGGGATCATGACCTGAGCTGCAGGCAGATGCTTAACGACTGAGCCACCCAGGCGCCTAAAATTTATTTTCAGTTAAAAATTAAATTGTGTTGCAAATTTATGAGTGAGTAAGGCAGATTTTTTTTTCCTTGAGCCTCAAACCTAAAATTCCCCATTGTAAATGTTAGAAGCACCTGTCAAAGGAGTTACTAATTTGCAAAATGGAAGTTGTAGCATTGCCTTTTCTTTTTTGTATTATATGTGTTTGCCCTACAGGTTTATGTAGAGATGGAGACTCTTCTCTCTGGACTTTATTTTTCTCTTGAATAGGAATATAAATGTTTATGGTTTTGTATATTTATGGCCACACCCTCCTTCTTTTTTCCAGTTGCTAATGGCTGGTCTTTTGTTCATACAGGGCTGGGAAACTAAAAATAATTTCCTCCCTGAGGCCACCCCCCTTGTGTTTCTTTGCTTTAATTTTGAAAGACTTTTTTTTTTTTTCCTTTCCTGTACTCCACCTTTTATCCTTTGACTCAACCAAGAATATATTGACATATCCTTCCTTTTTTTTTCTTTTTTCTTCTTTTAACTTTTTATCATTTACCAAAACAACTTCTTTCAGGGTGTTGACCACCCAACCTGATGGAAACATTACTGCCTATTCAATTAGTGACAAAAGTGTGTTGAGAGTTTGAATTAAAGTGTCTTGTGCTTGTGTTCCTCTATGGCTGGTTGGGTTTTGGTTTTATTACTATTTTTTTTAATCAACTTGGATCTCGTACTCTTTGTAAACAACTAAAGGAAAATAATGTACACGTTCACCATTGACTCACAGAAATCAAGAAATGTGTGCTTTTGAACTGAATATATCCTTTCCCTTATGCTTACCTGAATCTGTTTCTGCTCGTGTTAGTGAAATACAGGTGAGGAGGTGCTAACTATAATCATGTGCTTTTTTTGGGTTTTTAAATTCCATACACTTTCTATTTAACTTTTTATTGAAGTGTAATGTATGTACAGAAATAGATACGGATCTTGAGGGCACAGTTCAATGAATTTTCACAAACTGAATATATGTAGGTAATCATCTTGGTTATCAAATCAAGAACAACATTAACACCACCAAGAGCCCACTTTTGCTCTGTTATCTCTGCTCTACCCTCCCCCTACCCTCTTATCCCACTCATCATCTTGGTTTCTAACAGAATTATTTCTGCCTGTTTTAATATACCCTTTCAATTATAATCGTTTTGGGAATTGATTTAGAACCAAAAATAAGAGAAGGAAAGCAAAGTCTCCTACTGCCTTTGCCAGCATCTTGTGTATTCTTTCAGAGCTTATACTTCAAGTCCCTCCCTACTCCTTAACTGTACTTTCATCCTAATCTAAAAACATGTCTTTTATGGGAATGTACATGGTATTTTGGGATATCAAAGTTAATCATTTTAAAGATCTTGCTAAGGTGAATGACTATACATTGTAAGGTTTGAAATTAGTCTTCATCACAAAAGGAACTTATAGAAAACTTGAAATTAAAGAGAAAATACTAACACCTGTTTATCTTTATGTAGTCCATCACAATGATGAGGAAGAAAATTATTCATTTTACTGGCTCTGATCAGAGAAAACAAGCGAATGCTGCTTTCCTTATTGGATGTTATATGGTAAGTATTTAACTGATTTCCTAACATATTAGTGAAAATGCATACAACAGTGGTACTTTAAATTGTAGTTGGAATTTGGAAATTACTTTTTCTAAGATAATATCTTGATTTCTTTCCAGAAAGAACATGTTTTGCTTTTAAAGATTTGATCAACAGGGAAGGCTGTGCATATTTGGAGGGATAGGGTATATGGAAGATTTCTGTACCTTTTACTTAGCTTTGCTATTCTGAACCCAAAACTGCTCTTTAAAAAGCCTATTTTTAAAAAAATTGACCAATAGTATGTGTTACGGCACTTAAGGTTAGAAGATAATGCCCCCAAAGCTGTGTTTTTATAAACCCATGATCCATTTAGTGAAGTTGTGAAAGTGGAGTCAGGACCAATAATTGATTTTTTTTCTAGAAAAACATCAAAGTGCTTCACATGAGGTAAGAGTGCTTTATAATTTGAATATAGGCCATTTTTTCCTAACTAAGGTGTGACTCTTAGGTCTATTCTCATGGATTCTCTCCATTCTCATGAAAACATCTAGCATGAGGACATAGTCAGTGTTGTAGGACAAGTTTTACATACTATATGGGTTACATAAGACACTCAGAGGTCTTTTTTTTTTTTTTAAGTTTTTATTATTTATTTGTCAGAGACAACGTGCACAAGCAGGGCGAGCGGCAGGCAGAGGGAGAAGCAGACGTCCTGCTGAGCAAGGAGCTCAAAGTGGGACTTCATCCTAGGACCCTGGGATCATGATCTGAGCTGAAGGCAGTTGCTTAGCTGAGCCACCCAGGCGTCCCAAGGTTTATTTGAATCATTGAAAAATACAGTTTGGAATAGCCAGTATTTACACAAGAGTTATAAATTTCATTTATTTATAAGGATCATGGAAGATTTTGTTTTTAGAGTCACATTTTATCAGTGCCTAGTACATTCATCTGCAGGGGTAACTTAGCAACAGTTTTTCCAGAGTAGGCTGATGGCTCCTCCAGAGTAGTGCCCCTTATCTTTTTGTTTGTTGGTGTGGAAGCCAGCTATCCTATTCACTGGAGAAGAATAGTGAGTGGATGTGTCTTCTACTGTCATCCACAATAAGGGGATTGTTTCTGAAGTTCTTTAGATAAGTTTTTTCTTCCCCCAACTTGCTACTTGCCTCTGCCATGCCTTCCTCCTTTTGGAAATTATTTTCTGGTATATAGTTTAATAATTTGGAATATACAGTGATTAAACCAGAAGTTGGTGGTACTGGCTGAAATTGCACCTAAACTTTCCATAATTTCCTTTTCTATGTTTAAGGTAAATCATTAGGAAATGTGATTAAGGCCTTTTTGCTCTTGTTTTCATCTTGTGTTCACAGAAGAAATGTTTCTGGGATAGGGCTAAGTTTTCTTACCATCTCTGAATGTGTGAAAACACTGCTTGTAGATTAGGTCTACTAAAATTTGACTTTTTAAGCTTACCCAGATGTGTTGCTTTTGGTTTTTTTTTCCCCTCATCTCTCGTGGTGTTCATTGTGCTTAGCACCAAAAATTCTTAGGGGGAAAAAAAAGCCTATGCGAGTTAAGAAAAAGAGTATGGAGAGGTGGCTCTTTTAACTGGGGCATTAGGTGCCATTACTTAACCCCATTACTTAGCCATTACCTGGGTCAGAAGCCCTGTGGATTAGAATAAATCACGACAGCTTTATAGAAAAAGGGATGCAGCCAGAATTCTTGGGGTTTATAAAATACTAAAGGGAACCCTGGAGATATGGTCCTTAGTGTAACAGTAAAAGTCTTTACATTATCAAGGGGGAAATGGCTGAAGGCATTCCATTTAAGAGAATATGCTCCTGAATAGAACACACAGAGTTCTGCCTCACCTGCTCTTATGTCAGTCATTTATTTGTCTCTGGTCAGATGTTATGTCCCCAAGATGGTGGAGGCAGGGAGCAGGTCTTGGGGAGCCAGACATGGTGACTTCAGTGTCAAGAACCCCTAGAGAGGGTGGCTGTGAGTGTGGTGGGAACCAAGGGTTTTGTTAAAAACAAAGTACTTGATAATTTTATAAATAAGGAATCTCTTTTTAAAAATCTTATTGCTGTTGTTTTTTATGGCCAGTGATAAAACAGTGACTCCTTAGCACATTTACTGAAAATTTGTTGTCATATTTGCTCTAAGTTTGGTGTTGTCCTTTTGACTTTGTTTATGGTTGCGTTTTGGCAGGTTGAAGTTTATTTTTCTATATTTAACATATTTAGAGTTAGAAGTCCTTTCAGGGTTTTATGGTCTCAGATTAGCACAGATTTGATTGGTTAGTAAAGTGCCAGGTAAGCAATTTGGACATTCAGTTGAGTTCATTCCTCTGCTGAGTTAGAAGTCAGCTCGGCAGGAGGATTACAGTTCTTGGCTTTAGCAAAAGTGTGCAGCTGTGACTGGTTGGCTAAAATAGAAGCTTGGAGTTGAAATGATGCTAGGTGAGAAAACAGGAGAAAAACTTCTAATAAAAGGAAATTAATTAATTAATAAAGATTTTGTTCATTTATTACAGAGTGTGCAAGAGCACGAGTGGAGGGTGGGAGGTGCCGAGGGAGAGGGAGAAACAGGCTCCCTGCTGACCAGGGAGCCCAACTGTGGGCTCCAAGCTCAATTCCAGGACCCTGGGATCATGACCTGAGTCAAAGGCAGAAATTTATTAATAGTAGCAAAGGAGTGTCAAGATATAATATAGCTACCTCAAAAGATTAAACATTGAGTGTGAATTTGATGGATTTGAGGTGAGGATTTGATCTGGTTGAAGTCTGTTGAATCCTCTGATTAAAGAATTTTAGAAAGAGTGAGTTTCCTAGAAATTGGTTTGCAGCCTTGATGACCTTTCTGGAGTTGTTGAGGAATTTGGGAAATAGTAATGAATGCTTTTTAGTGATTCATCTGGAAGATGGTGTGGTAATGTTAGAACAAAAAATCTGGAGGAAGAACTGTTGGGAAGGAAATATTCCGAATGGACTGACTCTCTATCCATCCTTTTACACTCTGAAAGGAATGCACTCTCTATCTTCGTGTATTCAAAAGGATCTAATATGGGGTGTAGAGGAGGCTTGGTGTTGTGTCAGTCCTTCTATTTATTTTTTTTGTCTTAAAAACAGAGGAGGTTTGGTTTTGAAAATAGTCAAAATACTCAGCTATTGAAACAGGATTGATATGCCCATGCTCTGTTAGTCCCATTTGTCAGATGGTCAGGTGCTACATGTGGCAGAAATGAGATTGGCTTAACTATTAATTGGCTTAACTATTCATTTGTCTTTGTGTATTTCCAACTATTGCACTTTGTGTGGCCTGATAAATGGTTTCAGCAACTATCTGAAATGGTAGGAGCTTTATTAACACACTAGGTGAAAGTAAAAATCTTTTATAAACTTACTCACTGTAGAAAAGTCAAAAAATATAGAAGATATCTGAGTTTTTCTTTTTACAAAAAGATAAGTACATCACATAATTTTATAGAGTAGTAAGTTTACCCCGTTGTGATAAGTCGGTGGCAAATACCTAGGCAGATTTGGGGGGTAGTGGTATTTAACCTGTCATTTGAAGTAAGGGTGAAATTTTAAGTGGAAAAGCAAGTGCCTTTCAAAACATTCTTGATAGTGAAGAGAGTATTTTGAAAATAAAAGCTTGAAACTTTGTTTTGTCATTTTGTTGTGAAAAATGTCATGTCAAAACCCATATTTATACCCTTGAGAAATTTAGGAAACTTGCCTTAAAAAGAACCCTCTTTTGTATTTATAAAAGCAGGACATGTGCATATGTGTGTGTAAAATCCCATCTGTTTTATGTTCACCAGGACAGTTTTATCACTGTTTTTTTTTTTTCCAGTCAGTGGCCCATTCTTCCATTTTAGTAATACCTGGATTACATTCATATTTCCTCCATTGATCCAAAATGTCCAAAACAGTACCTAATCCAGGATCATACATTGTGTGTGATTGTTGTGCCCTTAGTCTCTCTGACACATGTATGGTCCATTTTTGCTAACACTGATGTATGGAAGAGACCAGACCCCTTATGGAATGTTCCACCTTTTGAATTTCTCTGTTTTCTTCCTTGTGGTATTTTTAAACTTGTTTATCCATTCTCTGTATGTCTTATGAACTGAAAGTTAAATCTATAGGCTCCTGTATTAGTAGTTTATGTTGCATTCTGTTAGAAAACATATAATACCTAAATTACCATTAAGGATGCTAAAAACGACCACTGGATTCGGTGCTAACCATCAAATTCCTTCAATGTATGGTTTTCTCCTTTATGACTTAATATATTCCATATGGTGTTAATTTTGGAACTATTTGTATGTTCAGTTCCCCATCAACCATGCATCTAGTGTTTTATACAATTAATAGGACTTGCCTCAATCAATAATTTTATTATGGCTTCAATATAACCATAATTTCCAGTTATTTTATTCATCCTGCATTTATTAGTTGGCTTTCTTTTATGGGAATTGAGTTTCCCCTCTCCAGTTGAGACTGAAACCAATTTGGTTATCCTGAAACCAGCTTCCTTCTGAAAAGGCAGAATGAATGATCTTTTCCCTTTAAGGACATAGCTTTCAAAGTCAAGGGTCACATTAATAGCCACAAAACAAAATGTTATAACCCAGTTTAAAATCATCTCAATAATGTTTCAGTGGATTCTAAACTTATTTGCTAAACATTGCAGAAATGTGTAGCACTTTCCCCTTTAGTTTTTTACAACTACTTTAGTTTTTAACAACATCCCCTTAGCATTTGGGATGTTGAGAATTTACTAACCAAATGTCCATCATTGCTGGATAGGATGAAAGAAAATGAGTGTAATCATTACTGCATTTGCATTTACTTATCACTGGAAAATATCTTTTTAAGTTACAGCACCCATTAACATCAAGAATTGAAACAGCTGTACATGATTTTATTTATATGAAGCCCTTGGAAGATGTCTTGTATGTCTAGTCCACAGTGATAGAAGGCATAGCAGTGGTTGCCTCAGACTTA